TGGTGTCTGGTAGGTTACACTCGAGGTGGAAAGTGTGCCCACAGCCTCGAAAAATGCGACACAAAGGACTATCACGACTGCATTCGATCACTGATATTTAGATCAGTCCATTCGATCTTATCACATTTGCTGTGTCAATGGAAATTGAAGGTAATAATATCAAACATATTATATATTTCATGCCTATGATTCATATACATTTTATAGGCTGTCAGTATATTAAAAGATTAATATTTTTTCGAGCACCAGATTGGCAGTCAACATTGGATTACTTATTTGCTTTAGTATGCAGTTTTTCCTATGTGTTTTGTATAATTGTAGTATTTGTAGAAAATAGAAAGACCACAGTGTCTATTGTTAGGATCATGGAAGCAACAACTGTTTAGTAAAGCATATAAAACTCGTGATAGTGATGCAGTGTAATTATACTGAATTTACATTGTTGGATTAGGAGGTCTTTCCATTGATAAAAAAGCCCAATGGAAGAACTCGGTTGGTGAAAACCATGCCTCCAAACAAATTTAGTAGTTTCCACTTTCTTGTCTCCTTATTTTGCCCATGCACTCTTGACAGCAACACAGCCTGACCAGGATTATCATGGAGAACTCCAATTTCTTGGTGAGAAATTCAACAACCTTGACCTTTCAAATTAGAGATTGGCATCTGACTAGCCCAGGTGTCACAGACATTGATTGGAATGATTGCATTTCTTGTTTACAATTAAGTGTCAATCATTCGCCTTTAGACTAACTTGCTCAGCATTGTCAGTGGCAGGGCTACCGAGAGGGGGTGGGGGGGGGGCCCCAGATCAAAATGGGCCCACAAGCAACAAAGGCCGTTAAAATTTATGGATACAAGATTGCTTAACTAAGAATATAAATCCTAGCTGCATTAGGGCGGGATAGTATGCAATAAAGTGTAATATATTGTAAAACACCGCTTCTTCCATTTTACAATTATGACCTCATAGGGGCCCCTGGGACAGTCTTTCCCTGGGCCGCGCGCAACGTCTTTGCGGCCCTGTTCTGTGGCATTAGGGGGTGATATTACACAACCCCGGGGGGTGAACTCAGTCCTGTTAACGTATAACTGGGTTGAAATTTTTAGCAATTACATGGACGATTTCAACCCCGGGATTGAAATGCTGTATGTATCCTGGCGTTGATTTCCGGAAGTAAAAAAAGCAGGTCCATAGCCTCCATATTGTTTTTTGTAATAAATAGTCACTACCATGCATGCTTGAACAACTCATGAATAATTTCAGCCCTGATTTGAAATGATTGCATGACAGGATTTTGAACTCAAGGACGAGTCCCTGCTAACTGAAGCAGGGTTGAAACCCCGGGGTTGAACTCAGCTCTGGCTTGACAATTTTGTCATGTAATTGTGCGCTTGATTGTGATAGAGTTTTCTATTACAGACAGGGCTGAAATTTCAACCTGGTCAACAGGGTTGAGTTCAACTCCGGGATTGAAAATGCCCCATGTAATCGGCCCCTTAGTCCATGCCCACAGAACAGGTGGAAATTTTCAATAGGGTGCTTGTTGAAAGCTACCAATGCTTGACGTAGTGTGTGGTATCTGGGATGGTTGTTCTCTTGCCAATATATGAAATGAGAGAGAACCACTAACATTGCCTTGTCATGATGACAATGACATAAGTCAGTCTCTAATTTGAAAGGTCAAGGGTGCTGAATTTCTCACAATCAATTGGAGTTCTCCATGATAATCCTTGTCAGGCTGTGTTACTGTCAAGAGGTGCATGGGCAAAACAAGGAGACAAGAAAGTGGAAACTACCAAATTTGTTAACGTTGGAAGCATGGTTGTCACCAACCGAGTTCTTCCATTGGGCAAAACATCAGTGGAAAGATCTCCTAATGCAACAATATAATTGCACTGCATCACTATCACGAGTTTTATATTCTTTTGTAAATAGTTGTTGATTCCATGATCCTAAAAATATACACTGTGGTCTTTCTATTTTCTACAATTACATAAAACACACAGGAAAAACTGCGTACTAAAGCAAATAAGTAACCCTCTGTTGACTGACAATCTGGTGCTCGAAAAAATATTAATCTTTTAATATACTGACAGCCTATAAAATGTATATGAATCATAAGCATGACATATATAATATGTTTGATATTATTACCTTCAATTTCCATTGACACAGCAAATGTGATAAGAACGAATGGACTGATCTAAAAATCAGTGATCGCATGCAGCCGTGATAGTCCTTTGTGTCGCATTTTTCGAGGCTGTGGACACTCTTTCCACCTCGAGTGTATTAAACCTACCAAGTACCAAACATCAGTGCTTGCCCATTTTGCAAATATCCTCTCACGTCAAAAGCTTGAGCCAACGAGGCAATCATAAATTTCGAAAAGAAATTGCCATTCATTGAAACGGCGATTCTTCTACCTTACTTTGAATTAGTGCTATATGCCACTGCCGGCAAAATTATAGTCGTGTAGTGACCGATTGCCAGAAGGTTTAACTCCAAAATCGCAGTGAAAATGCCTTCTTTCTCAAATGCCTCAAGCCACTCTTAAATATTTCCGGATATAAGCCTTCGCTTCACTTCCTTTAGAATCATAACACGTTTTTGACCTATTCGAAAGTGACCTTGCATACGCCGTTTTTTGAATGCAGATAATTTCAAAACTAAGCGATTAAACGCAAATCGCAGCGGCAAATTTTTCGAAAATTTTATATTTTATAGGATTTCATATTTTATATTTTACAGGATTGAAATAAGCTTAAAAAATTAAAAAACCAGGCGCCTCCAAGGCTTTATTTACGACCCTAATTTTCGTGTTAAAATACACGTCTAAACCGGAAGTAGTAAAAATGGACGCGTTCTGATTGGCTTAGTGCCAAAAGGTAAACAAATGCTCTGATTGGTCGAGAACATTATTCGCCCTTGTTAACGCGAAGCTTATACTCTCTATTGATGAACTTTAAAGATGATTTCCACGTTCTGCGCATCAGTTCTGCTCATAACAAAGGGAGACCCCCAGAAATAAACATTGGCCAAATTTTGGATTTTTCGACAAGCATAGCGAACCAGAAAAGTGTTAGATATTCAGTTAGTCTTTCATATTTTACAAATATAGCAGTTCAAAACGTAAACAAAGTTCGCCATTTGCACAGGAGTGGACATTATCTTTAAACTTCGCTCATCCTTTCTCCGGATGGAAATAGACGAGTAGAATTTGTAACCTCGCCCAGGATTACGCCCGAAACGGCGCCGTTGGCTCGGGGATAAGGTTCGGCTAAAGGGAAATATAAAACTATTACCTGAACTAAGGCTTTGTTCGCCTATATTGTTTTCATATTTTATATTCACTGGAAGGACAAAATGTCGTTTAATTGAAGAGGGCAGCATTATGGCAGGGAGGTCTTGCCCTTCTGTAGCTCATACAGTATGTTAAACGTGGCCTGGATTTGGTTGTTCTTGAAGCTAATGACAAAATATATTCACTGTTAGTGATTCACTAAATGTCATAATATTATGTTAAAGGACAATAAATGTTAAATAATTTATTAAAAGTGACTTGTTTATGTGTAATAATATGCTAAAATATGCCAAGATCAGGGTGAAATAAGAGATTACGTATACGTGCTGCTTTTGAAAACTATATACGTGCTATTTGCAAACTGGAAAACGAACATTGGAAAACGAACGTTGGATTTGATGGTAGTTTAAAAGCAGTATCGGTGTTAAAAATAGGCTAATTAAGCATATGTGTGCAGTTGTGACTAAGTGCTGTTGTTTTAGTTGGAGTTGTACTGCGGTAGGGTAATTGCATTTGCGTATCGCCGAGTCAGGCTTTCGCAACAAGGTTACAGTACATTTATGAAAGATTAGTTAATGATGACCAGATATTTAAATGCTCTGGTCTGTAATCTCATCAAAATATAAAGAAGCATGGTCTGAGTCACGTGCCTCCGTAAAATACCGACATTAGTGCGAAATATTTATAGTCAACAATTTATTGAAGAAGAATGGGGTGAAGTAGACTTATAGAGTAGCTATTATCGACAAACTTATCATCAACTGTTCTCAAAGTTGCAATTTACTAGCTAAAACTGTGATAGGTGTATATTTGGCAATCTGAAATAGGCCGACCAATTCTTTGTGAAACTTAATACAGGTGATTTAGAAATTTGGTAAAGAATTATTTGAGAATTCGCATATGCTGAGCATAAATATTTAGGAGGAGTTTCTTTATTTTGTTTTATTTATGCCATTTTCTGCGTACAAGTCGACCAGTACTGAGCGACATTTGGGTTCCAGAATATGCCAATATATACGGCCTAATATCGTTTCATTCGTTTCGTTTAAAACTAAATAAATTAGCATTACCATAAACTATAAATATATGAAATATTCATACCTAAAGAGTGATTTAAAAATAGATTATTTGAAGTATTTGGCATGACAAACTTACTTACTTTAAGTTTACTTGTAAAAATGAATTGTAAAATGCATCAAAACATTACTAACTCTTTGCAGCCGTCATCGTGGGTTTTCATTATGGCTGAGTGATCACTGATTGGATATATAAGCTAACACACAAACCAATTGTAAAATTTGTGCGTGTTGGTGTTATGAACTCAGGTGAATATGATGTTTGTGATGTTATACCCTGAGTGTGCATCCGCACCGCAAGCTGAAAAGTTTGCTTGGCGACGGTGGGAATCTTATCCCATACCTGTGTTAAAAGCGGCTTTCTGATTGGTTTAGAGCAGGTGAGCTTGTCGTCGAGCTCACCTGCTTTTTTCCCCGAACTCACCTGCCTTTCACCCGAACTCACCTGCTTATAAACCAAACAGAGTCGCGCATACATGATGATGTTTTGTTTCAGCAGCGCGAAATTCTGATGCAGGGGAGTGCAAGCAAGAGCCAGGAAAAAATATATAGTATATTTAAATATGAAAACAACAAAGCGTTTTGAAGCTATATCCGACGAGCAATTAAAACAAAGGACAGCATGCATAATCTTGAAAACAAAAATACAGCAGACAATGAAAAGAAAGAAAGCAGAACGTTTATTCAAACAATATCTTGCCGAGAAATTGGCGAAGATTTAAACTTTTGCGAGTTCAGCGAGGAAAAACTCGAAAAACATCTTGCCAAGTTTTGGTTCGCTGCCAGAACAAAGAATGGGCAAATATATAACATTGGATCTCTTGAAACTATCAGATACAGTTTGAACAGAGTTCTGAAACGTTATGGCCACAAATTCGATATAACCAAGAGGGAATGCACGGCATTTACTGCAAGTATCAAAGCCTATGAAGATACAACGACTGAACTGAAACAAGAAGGAAAGGGATTCACAAAGAGTCACGCTGCTGTCAGCCCTGAAGGTAAAATATAGCAATAAATTATAGTTACTACATTTATGTCAACGTTGTGCATTCCTTTTTATATGCAACAACAGAAATTCCCTCAATCCTAATTTCAAACTTTGATATCACTTTAGAGTTGTATGACATATATCATAGTCGACATCTTGACCCTGATGCAGGACCAAGAGCTCTTCAAAACAAGGTTCAGTGGGACATGCGATTCTATTTTGCACGCAGAGGATCGAAGAACATGTACAATATGACGAAGACAACATTTACCATCAAAATGGACGAAAAGACAGGTATGCAGTATGTTGTAAAAGTTGAAGACGAAACTACAAAAAACCACAAGCAAAACGAACATGACATTGTAACTGGTTATATGCCTGCTATAAACGATGACAAGTACTGCCCTGTAAAAAGCTTTATTAATTACACTCAAGCCCATCCCCCAGACTCTGAAAAGTTGTGTATTTCCCACTAATGGCCAAGAGATATGGTATGGCCCAGGAAATATTGGCCACAACAAACTGGACAAGTTCATGTCTAACCTTGCAAAAAACTGTACATTGAAAGACAAAGGCTACACTAACCACAGCCTTCGAGCATCTGGAGTAACAACCCTGAAACGCAACAACTATAATGATAAGCAAATCATGTACGTTACCGGCCACAGAAGCAGTGCAAGTTTGAACATATATCAAAAAGTTGCATCGGATGAAAAACTTAGAAGAATGGGTTTAGCACTTGGCTATGCACTTACTGGAGATCCTAGCTGTCTGACGAAAGAAAACGAGGTAGCCTGTGTTTACCAGCAGCATCCTAATGACCACCCCAAACAATCATCCAATGCAACCCACCTTTCTTTCCGTACCAGTGGCACTGGAAACCAAATTGTGCCTCTTCACAAGCGACAAGCTCCCCATTTCACAGAAACTGCAACAAATCAAATCAATTAAATCAAATCATATTTATTTCCGTAGGGTAACCTCTTCAGTAATGCATCACTGGTATTAATGCGGGCCCTACAATTAAAATACACACACACACACACACATATATATATATATATATATATATATATATATATATATATATATATATATATATATATATATATATATATATATACAGACGGTACCGTTTCGGCCTTATGGGCCCCATCAGTGTAGTGCTGATGAGCAGGATGAAAGTAACTGCTATTTACAGTTACCTTTGATGCCTCACGATTGTGGGACATCAAAACCATGCCAGGGCGCTCAAACGGCAAGCAGTGAGCGTGCGCAATGCGTAAGCGGCAATGGCTCATCCTGTAGAGCGCTCAATATGACCTAAAGGCCATAGAGCGATATCTAACTACAGACGGTACCGTTTCGGCCTTATGGGCCTCATCAGTGTAGGGCTGATGAGCAGGATGAAAGTAACTGCTATTTACAGTTACCTTTGATGCCTCACGATTGTGGGACATCAAAACCATGCCAGAGCGCTCAAACTGCAAGCAGTGAGCGTATATATATATATATATATATATATATATATATATATATATATATATATATATATATATATATATATATATATATATATATATATATATATATAAACTCTCTTGTATTAAAGTTAAGCTGTAAATAAGTCTAAGAGTTTAGCTTTAAAGCTAGGTAGAGATGATTCTAGACGGACATGTTCAGGCAAGTTATTAAATGTTTTAGAGCCTCTTACAAGAACGCTACGTTCTGCGAATTCTAACTTTGATCTTGGAACTAATAACTTCATCTCACTGTTTCTAATTGAGCGCTTAGGTTGATGAAGTGTGAAATACCCATTGAAAGGAATTGGAGCCAAATTATTAATACATTTAAATGTAAAAATTGATAGATACATAGATCTCCTATCTTTCAGAGAAATCAGCTTAGTATCTACTGTGGGAATGTTATTACAAATTATTTTGTTTGCTTTATTTTGTAATCTTTCAAGTCTGTCAGCGTCGGTTTGGCTAAGGCAGTCCCAGATTAAGTCGCAGTAGTCCAATATGGGGAGAACAGTTGCCAGATAGATGGTTAATGCGGTGTGGGTTGTAATATATGGTCTAATACGTCGTAGTGCACCTATTCTTTTCGAGACTCGAGATCAGGAGTACTGTAGATGATCTTTATACGTCAGGCCACTGTCAAGATGTAGACCAAGGTACTTGTATACCAATGACGACTTTATATCATGGCCATAAATTTGAACTTTTAAGGGTTCATTTATTTATCTCCGTTTGTGCGTCCCAAAGAGGACCGATTCCAATTTCCCTTGGTGCAGATAGATTTCATTGTTGATTGCCCAGTCTGCGATAATCTTTAAGTATATAGATCCCAAATATAGATCCCTGCGGTACTCCTAAATTCACAGGAAATGATGAACATAATGCACCGTTCACTCCAACTTGAATGTACCTATCTATTCCATGTCTGCACAATCTCCAGAGAGCAAACTCTTCAAGTTCTATAACAGCTAAGTAGTCTTCAACATATGGTGACTCAATGTTCGAGAAAAACAATGCAGTTAGCGATGCAGAGTTGCTGAAAGCAGTAAATGAGTATGAAGAAGCTACAATATCAGAGCATGTTTGATTCATGCAGTCATCTCAGACAGACTCAAACAAAATACAGTGCATTTCAAGGCAAATATTGAAGAAGATGAGCCCATCTACATTCAGTAATTGCAAAATTAAGGTGGAATTATTATTAACATTCATAAAGATTGACAACTTGACTGCAGTAGTGAATGGTGTTGAATGTTGAAAATGACATTTTTGTAGTAACACATTTTAATATTTATGAGCTTATTATGTTATATAATTAATAAAAATACATGACTGTTGATATGATATTTTATTAATGCTAATTTAACTTCTAATAGTTCTTTAATTGAATAATGTTGTTGCTTTAATATGTTGATGTGTCATTTCATTAATGTTAATTTAATATAAATATTTCACTATTGTTGCTGCTTCTAAGATATTGTATGTTACGATACTGATAAATGATTAATTATATTTATACAAATGGTGGGTGATGCCAATAATTTTGTTCTGTTTTAAGCTTAAATTTGCTTTTCTATATCTAAAAAATGCACGGTGCCACCTAAATATGGCGGACAAGATTTAGCCGATAAACCTAAACTTTAAAGAACTTTTTTCGGTGAGTAACCTACTGAGACTGAAGGAAAACCAAAGAAAATAATGCAATAAAGGTAATCTAGAAGTAGATAAAGAAGTATGAAGAGCCCAGTGGTCCTTTGTCTTAAACACCAAACGTACTTGCATGTTCGGTGAGTCCGGGATTGGACGCACCTCGGGTGGCTGGAAGTTTCCCGAACTCACCTCGCTTCGCTCGGTGAGTTCGGGAAACTTCCAGCCACCCTCGGTGCGTCCAATCGCGGACTCACCTCCCTGCAAGTACGTTTGTTATAGAACCTGCGACCTTTGGGAGTGCTACAGATTGTTAGAGTGTTATGTTAGAGTGTTAAAGTGTTACGAGTGTTTTATATTTTTGTAAATCAGATGAAATTTATATAGTAAAATTGGTAGTATATAGTAAGAATGATTGATTGTAAAATTATAGTTTAACGAATTGATTCTTATAGTTTAGCCAAACTTGTATTCAATTCACCTGAGTACATAACACCAACACACACAAATATCATATCTTGGAATACACCGATATCGAAATCGAAGGAACTAGACTCAGTTCCGAAACATCATCAATTCGAACAGACTTGATCGCGTAGCTCAGTTGGCAGACATTGCACTATTATCCCAAAGGTCGCGGGTTCGATTCCCACCGTGGCAAAGCAAACTTTTCAGCTTGCCCGGTGTGGATGCACACTCAGAGTAAGATCACAAACATCACTTGTAGAATGTATAGCTGAGGAGCGTAGACGAAAGGGCCTGGGTACAAGGCTGGAAAAATTCATCGATAATTCATGAATGAAACACGAACGAAATCATTACCGTGAAGGAGTAATATGCATTAAATTGCTTTTGTAAATTCTTCGCACAAGTTTGTTGGTTAAACTATATAAGAATCAATTTCCCGCTCGCTGGTTCAGTCAAAAAAATGTTGGGACCACGCCGGGTCAGCTCTTCCCAAAAATCGGCCATCTGATATAAACTTTTTCAATATATTTCGGATGGACATGAAACTTGCTACATCAATATAACTTTCCATTCCGAACAATCGTATGTTTTTTATTTTTGAGATTTAACGGTTTTTGGCGGGAAAATGACGTCACGAAACCTCCAGTTAAAATTTACTTTCAATATCTTAATAGTTTTGTCGCAGAATTTGGAAGAACATGTCATGAACAGTTCAAAACTGAAAACAGATTTTAAATATCTAAACCTAATCCAAAGTTATTTCACTATAAAAACCGTGAAAAATCTAAAAATAGTAACAAAATGGTGGAAAATTCGATTCTAAACTCCCTGTATCTCGTGATTAGATTAAGATATTTAAAATCTCTTTTCAGTTTTGAACTCTTCATGACATGATCTTCCACATTCTGCTTAAAAACTATTAAGATATTGAAAATAAATTTTAACTGGAGGTTTCGTGACGTCATTTTCCCGCCAAAAACCGTTAAATCTCAAAAATAAAAAACATACGATTGTTCGGAATGGAAAGTTATATTGATGTAGCAAGTTTCATGTCCATCCGAAATATATTGAAAAAGTTTATATCAGATGGCCGATTTTTGGGAAGAGCTGACCCGGCGTGGACTGTATTTTGTTTTTCTCATTTTCGTTTATTCAACCAATCTTTTACAATCAATCAATCTCACTATATACTACCAGTTTTACTATATACATTTGATATGATTTAAAAAAAAAATAAAACACTTTTAACACTCTTAATACTCAGGTATAACACTCTAACAATCTCTAGCACTCTCATCACAACAGTGTTTTTGCACTCATATTTATAGTTTATTCGTACTATTTACAGTAAAAAGAACAAAATATGTTTTGAAGATTTATTGTCCACAAAGGAAAATACATCAAAATTTTAAGGGATGTTTACAAATACGTTTTCGAGATGCTCGTGAATGATGGTTACAGAATAAGTTATTTTTAGATTTTCTCACAATTTCGATAGGTTAGAACACTCATGTTGTATAACAAAAATACAAAGTTTAAAAAACCGAAGGAAACACGAGAAAATTATCACTAAAATCAGTGCGGCCACGCACTAGTCTACGGTGTAGACCAGTACCGTAGCAAGAATGATAATTGGGGGGGGGGGCACATATTCATATATTCGTGTTCACATACCATAAAAACAATTGATTTCAAAAGAAATTAATAAAGCAGAACACGAATATATGAATATGTGCCCCCCCCCCCAATTATCGTTTTGGCTACGGCACTGGTGTAAACCCCAGCAGGAACACGTTTCGTGAGGGGTCTACAAATAAACGAAGAAAAGCTTGCCCGGCCTGCGTCATATCCGTTTTACGTTTTGGGTAAATTAACTTCAATTTATTCAAATTTCTGAAGCGTGCGTGAATGTAAGTTTTCATTTGACGCTTATTACAATGTTCTATGGCAGGCTTTGCGCAATACAAATGTGTTCTTTACTTCAAAGTCCCGTCGAATAAAAGCAATATTAATTTTTTGGACAGCAAGGACACTGTACATAAGGAGTTAGACGACCTTTCCTTCTCCATTTCACTTACAAATAGCATTTGTACAGCATGCCTGGCCTCCTGGCGTTGGTAAACAGACAGTGAAACGGAGAAGCTTCAAAGACCGCTTTAATATGTGAGCTAGAGCCTAGACAATAGGATAACCAACGTGCACGAAACATCATTAAACGCTATTGGTAAATGTCACGAGGAAACTGGGATTCCAGCCGACTTGGGATAAAGCTTTTATGCCGGCTACATTTAGTGTGAAATCGACTTTGTCTTC